TCTTCTGGTGACCCTGCCTTCTTCCCAGTGTTCTCTGTGTCAGTCTGTCCTGCCTATACCTCCTACCTAGCTAATTAATGGCTGTTTAGCTTTTTATTAAGAGGGCACCTTGGCAAAGACACATTTTCACATTGTACAGAAAGATTATTTCACAACATTTTCTCTCTTTTTGTCTAAATAAAAAGGAAAGGGTTTAAGCCTCACACATTAAAGCTATATATAATAACAAATATCAGGTAAAAATTAAACGCACAATGTCCAGTCCATTTTTATTTTGCAATTTTGGAGAAAATTCTCCATTCATTCTGTCTTGGTGAGTCCAAAGTTCTGCACCTAATTTACCTTCTATTATAACTAATGGGCACTATAAGTATCTAGTCTTCAGCTCCATCAGAGACCCCAGAAGGATATAATATTACCCAAGTAAACAGGAAGTACAGGGCAAACCACTTCCAAACCTATAGACATAACAGACATCTGGCTGCCCAAAGTTCCTCTGCAATGTTGGGGCATCCATCTTTGGCGTACAAGCCTAGAAGGTCTGGCAGACTTTTCTATGAAATAAGAATTTTGAAGGACGGCCCTGCTTTTTCTAGGTAAAGCTCAACAGTCTCTTTCATTTGTGTTCTGCTTGTCCAGTTTGAACAACATATTGTCTTCAGCAAGGCAAGGGAAGTTTCTTTGTACAAATGGCTATCTAGCTTTTCCCACAAAGAAAGCAAACTCTATATGGAGGTTCTTCGATGCCTGTCATCCTTTTTTGAAGTAAATTGGTGTTGCTAGGAGCAGACTGTGTTTCATTGTCATGAAAAGCCCTGTTATTAAAACATTTTAAATGCCATATTGTATAGGTCTTTGATGCATCTGAAGACTATGTATTTAAAATATGTCTCTGACTTTGAAAATAATATAATATGACTCCAAGTTTAATTGATATAGATGACTATTAACTTGTATTTTTTATTATTCTAAATAGCTTTTAAGGACTAAAACTTTACATTACATTTTTAAATAAGCTGCATAGGTATAATACCTTAAAAAAGAATTAGAACCATATAATACAGCATACCCTTAAATTTATCAATATACAAAAATCCAAACCTGTGTAAAATTTTGGGGAATAGTGGTTGTTCAAAAATAGACTCAATAGTTCACCCTTTTACCCCATCATTTCTATACCATACCCCCCCTTCCCTTCAGAAAGAGATCTTCGAATCTAAGCTCCTTTGTTTAGCTTTCTCCCTGAACATAACAAATACCAATAACAGTTTGTAACCACCCCTCCCAAATGATGACAAATATCCATAACCCCACCTCTTAGGAATGTGGACGTTGTTTCTCCAGACTGCTTCCTGTTGACTGTGGGTGACAGCATCTTTATGGAACCTGAGAAGATTGAGATAATGATCAAATCCTGGAAAAACTAGCCATAGCATTTGTTGTTCAGTCTCTGTGCAATGGGGAAGCACAAGGCTTATTTGTGGTCCTGACTAGAATAGTCTGTGGGGCTGGACCATCTCAGCCAGCAGCCTTGAAGCTGTTCTGAATGCCAAACTCTGGGGAAACTGCAATAGAGAGTCTCTGAGATACTGGATCACCTGGGCTACCCATTTTCCTTGGTATTTCATTCCCTTGCTTTGAAAACACATAAACTTACATATCTGCATTAACACAAGTATGGACTCTGCACTGTAACAAGCCAAACAAAGATGATTTTTTATTTTATGTTTGAGCAGGTAAAGTATATATCTCCTGTCTTGTGTTTTTTTTTTTAACGTTTATTTCTTTATGTCTGTGGCCAGGATTTTCAGGGGGTCTTCCCTGATCAAATCTGATCTCTATAAACTTTGGATGAATCCACAGCCTTTCATTTCTCGTGGAAACAAAAGCATAACCTCTTCCTCAATGTAACGTATTTTTTGACTTCCATTTTGAAGTGAAAACATTTTAAAAATATATAGGGTGGTTTAATCTGGCTCTTTCCCATTCATAATCTGATGTCTCTCAGCAGCTATTGTTGCTCATCAACAATCAAAAAGTTTGAAGTCAATATAATACCATACTTGATCCATACTCTGTGTATTTTCCATTTTTATGTGGCTTATCCTTTTTATATTATTTTATTTTTTCTTTGAAGACTTTATCTTAAATTTATTTTAAATTACCTTTTCTGTCTGCCTATGTCCATTTTCATTTTTTAAGTCCATACATTTTTTGTAAACACACTATAACCTGTTTAGAGTTTCTTTTTTTTTTTCTGTTGGATCTGTTTTACTGTGCATCTGTAGCCATTTCTGTCTGCATGAGCAAAACCTTAAACTGCCATACAGTTTAGCTCGTGATACATTGGCAGCTTGTGGCTGAGAGACTGCAGGACCAGGAAGCTACATTTGGCTTCATTTTTGTATGTTTGGAACCTTTTTTTTTAAAGCTTTTTCAGGTCTTATGTGAAAATATTTGCCCCCCACATTGGACACCATTTGTAGCAAGTCTTTCTCTGTCCAGCCAACCCACTCCCAAATCATGACATGGAGACTTCTTATTAATTATGAAAGCTTGGCCACTAGCTTTGGCTTGTCCTAGCGAGCTCTCAGAACTTAAATTAACCAGTTTATATTAATCTATATCCTGTCATCTGGCTTGTGGCTGTTACCTCTCCTCCTGCATGCACATCCTGCTTCTTCTGCATCTGCTTGTGACTCTGCCTTTCTTCTTCCCAGCATCCTCTGTGCCTGGAAATCTTGCTTAGCTATTGCCTATTCAGCTCTTTTTAAAACCAACCAGAGTGACATCTTCACAGTGTACAAAACAATTGTTCCACAAAATCATTTTCCCTTTAGGCAGAAGATAGTGAGCCTTAGTGCCAACCCCAGCAGCACCCACTGATTTTATTTCCTTCTTCTGGGTCAAGAGCTACATGGTTTTATCCATTGTTTAAAAGGGAGCTTGGTTGTATGGCTTTTTATTCCCTCCAAGGAGTTACCATCTTCATGGTTCAAGATGAGGAAAGTGGGCCAGTCAGACTTATATGGGAAGGGAGGAGCCCTTTAAAATAAGTAAATGAGAGCTCCATCTACATCTCTGTGAGGTGCTGAGGTGAGCCTATCATGGGTGACCCATGGAGACACTCTTCTTGTTCCCCTGGTTATCAGTGGCCTCTGGGTATAGCAACAGTGGCCACCAGAAATGCACTTTGGATACCAGTGAAGGCAGGAGTATAGATACAACAGGAATCCCAACTCTCGGCCGTCACCTTTATCTCATCCCCTGCTCCTGGAGACTGTTCCGGACTTGGCCTGGCAGCATTCAGGCAGCATGAGAGACAAAGGCATCATGTTTTGCTGTTGTTTTTGCTCCTGAAGATGGATTAGTAAAAGCCTAAGAGGAAGCTTAAGCTTAGGGCCTGGCTTCAGACTTAAAGAGTGTATGGATGCACACTAAAGCTGCAGCTCATGTCTGAGGTCTGCACTAGAGACAGATCGGAGAGTCCTGGGCAGAAACACGGGGCCTATAGAACTGGGTATGGCTGCCTGTAGAGGAGAGGACAGTAGCCGAGCATCCTTGTAGCAGGGTAGTAAGCATGCTCTTGCTTCCGCTGAGTAAAAAGAGTTGGCTTCTAAACATATATTATGAAGAATGCAGTCAGACTGTGAGACTCACAGTAGAGGCATTTGTGGCCACTGGCCTGTAAATAGGTCTTGAAGATGTAGGGACCCTTGCTTTATGTGATGAAGTACAATAGTCATTGTGCAGAGACCTTGCCCTCTCTATGATTCTGCTGGGATTAAAGGCATGTGCCACCACCGCCGAGCTAAAACACTTCATCTTGGAGCAGTAGCACACACCTTTAATACCAACACTCAGCAAACAGAGCAGTAGGATCTTTGTGAGGTTGAATTTGGCCTGGTCTACACAGTGAGTTCCAGGCCAACCAGGTATGCACGAGGAAACTTTTCTCAAAAAATAAATTGAGCCTCCAGCCTCCCATTTCTCAGATTTCCTTACCGAGTAGCTGCGCTGTGCCCTAGCAGCATCTTGAGTGTTCTTTGACAGTGTCCCAAACATGGCTGAGATAGTTACATTGCTGCATGTGCTTAAGCCACCTGGGTATGGCCTTGTGTTCTGCTGGGCCCCTCAGCAGTCTAAAAGATTTTGACCTCACTTCCCTTTGTCTTAAATGAGCTCCCCAACTATGTGCTGACCTACTATGTGGTGGGCAGCTTGTAAGCCACATATGTGACCAGGGAGATGAATCCATGCTGTCACTCAAGGGCAGCAAACGTGTGAACAGGGAGCTGTATCCCTGCCGTCCCTCAGCCTGGTGGGGACATACTGTGCATTTGGGCTCTCCTGCCACATGCCGCACTGCCTTGTTCTGGTGTCCATTGGTGCTGTCAGTACCACCATTTTGTGCCAGGTACTTGGTGCCCAGTGGTGTGAGGCAAATGTGGCCCCTCTGTGGACAGAGTGATGCAGCACCTGTTGGACTCTAGCGTCGCCCCCAGAGACCATCTCACACCACAGCCAATGCAAAAGCATGAGGATTTTATTAATTCTGTCATGACAGGGTCCCCCAGCATTCGGGAAGCCGAGGGACCTCGAATAGCAGGTACAGTCTACTTTTAAAGGGGCCACAGAAGCAAGGGGGGTTGTTCTTTGACTATTCTGATTGGCTTATTAGAAAGGGCTATTACCAATAATTGACTGGAGAGCTGTTGCCAGATCAGATGAGGTAAGAGATCATTTTGACCACATTTACCAGGGGACAGAACCAAAACATACGTATATGGGTAATTGTTCAGGAACTGAGTACGTGCAAGTGTAGCTGTTAGGTCCTTGGTTCCCAGGGGAGGAGGGGAAGCACTATGGCACAGAGGCTGAGAGGATTCAGAATTGTCACAAATGGCTTCAGGATTGTCTTAAAGTCTTACACACCCACCTTTGTGAGGACGACCTTAGGAGCTCGGACTCAGCCTGTCTCCTTTCTCCCTCACTGGCAGATCTACATCCGGATAAAGGACGACGAGTGGAACGTGTACCGGCGGTACACAGAGTTCCGGGCATTGCATCACCAGCTGCAGAGCACGTTCCCGCAAGTGAGGGCCTACAGCTTCCCGCCCAAAAAGGCCATCGGAAACAAGGTATGCATCCAGGGGCCACATCACTACTGCACTTTGGTCTGTCCTCAAAGACTGCACTCACCATAGAAAACCTGCAATGTTAGAAAAGATAGTGGAGAAAGTAGCCACCTAAGGGAAGGGCAGTCTTCTTGTGGGCGGGTCTCCCTTATTTCACCATGATCCCCAACTGTGAAGCACCAGAGAGCCAGTGTGCTGGGCACAGTGGGCTGTGCCCTTCCAGTAGGAACACTCAACATCACCTGTGCTGTGTGAATGCATCAGAGACAATGCAGACGCAGGCAGGTGCAGCTGTGGCCTTTAAATGCTGTTCTTAAAAACAGACCAGTAAGAGGGCCTAGGGGTAAATGAACAAGCCTGTGATGCTGAGTTTAGTTCCTGGAACCCATGTTAAGGGACAAAGAGGTTTCCTGGCTTCCATATGTGTGTTCACACGTGAGCACATGTGCATATGTATACACACACACACACACAGAGACATACAGACAATTTACAAAACTAAAACAGTTTTGGGGGATCTGGAGAGCTGGCTCAGTCACAACAGTACTTGCCATACAAGCCCGAGGACCCAGCAAGCACCTACTTAGAAATGTCACACATGCCTGCAATGTCACACATACTTGTAATCCCATGCTGTGGAGACAGCTCACTGACTGCCCAGCCTAGCTCATTGCTAGCTCCTGCTCAGTGACAGACCCTGTCTCAAAAACCAAGTAGACTCAAGGTTGTGCTCTGGCCTCTATAAGCATGCACAGGCGTGCACACAACCTACACACAGATGTGCATACATGCACACACAGAAAGTAATTTGGCATCTGAGTTGGTTACACTTGCTGACTGCTGTTCTGATCCAATATTTTCCCTGGTTGCAGTCACTGCTGTCATGATACTCATTCACATGTATGATGGTGGACCAGACTTTTTTTTAGAGAGGTCTCTTGTATTATGTGTACTTCTGTTATGAAGGCAGGATGGCCTCTGTTGGAAACATGTCATTAATCACCATGCAAAGGACTGGGTGAGACTGAAGAAGGCAGACTCAGTGTACTCAGTCAACTGTCCCAGTAGTTGGCCTCATCCATAGCCTTCTGTTAGTGAGTGGAGACATTTCTACTACCTTGTCTGCACTGCAGGCTGCTGAGGGTGCTGAAAACCACTGTGCTCCAGCACATCACCAGGTCTCTTATCTTGACCTGGTGTCACTCACCTGTAGTGACATCACTAACTCCATGGATGATTCCAGGGCATAGCCATCTGGAACCATTCAGAATCAAATGGGAAGGAGGCACTTGTACAGCTACAGAATACTAAACATCCAGGTAGATGTGGGCACCCTCGAGCACCTGAAGGGATGGCATTGACAAAGACTGGTTCTCAGCATGGGCGGCCAACCAGGACCCTGTATTCTCAGCTCGTGGTTCCCATTAGAGACAGGAGCCGTGCTACTCTGGCCCTTCATCTCTTACATCATCTTCTCTAATTTAGACCCCTCCTCCTCTTGTGATGCCAGTGGACCATCCAGACCTGCAGTGGTCTCCCAACTCAAGGTGCCTAATTTAATTACATCTGCCAAGGCCATCTGCATGTAAAGTTCTAGGAACTAGCTCAACCCACCACACTCTTGTATCACTAAGAGTGTTCTCTGAAGCTGAATCCACCACTTCTCCACCTCCTGCTTCTCCCTCCCCTTTTCAGAAGCCTCCATGAGGAATGTCCACCAAGAGCACCAGTCCTGTGAAACAAGCTCAGCAACTGAGGCTCAGGACTGAGGAATAGGGCTCTGGAGTTGAGTCATTAGTTAGGGTTCCTATCACTGTGAAGAGACACCATGACCATGGCAACTCTTATAAAGGAAGACATTTAATTGAGACTGACTCACAGTTCAGAGATTTAGTCAGTTATTGATATGGTGGGAAGCAGGGCGGTGTGCAGGCAGCCGTGGTGCTGGAGAAGGAGCTGAGAGTTCTACATCTTGATTCATAGGCGGCAGAAGGAGACTGTAAGCCACACTGGGTGTAGCTTGAGCATATGAGACCTCAAAGTCCACCTCCACAGTGACACACTTTCTATAACAAGGCCACACCTCCTAGTCATGCCACTTCTATGGGCCATGCATTCAAACACGTGAGTCTATGGGAGCCATTCCTATTCACAACACCACAATCATTTAGAAAGCGCAGTGGCAATCCTGGGTCTGCCCTGTATACAACAGAGACTGGGAGTAGGTTTCGTCTTTGCAGTCACCTTCATACAGGAGAAGCCCCCATCTGTAGTGGGTCACCCATGATCTCTGCATGCAGGAGAAGCCCCACGCTTTCCAGTATAGTGGACCTTTCCCCCCATGTCTATAGAGCGACTTTCTCTTTCTTATTTGTACATAAGTGAACATGGCCTAGTGATCAGCTAGGTGGTGACCAGATAGATGTCAAGACACAAGGACCTGACTGCCACCAGCCATAGCTCATCCCCGACATCCTCTGTGTCATTCTTGATGGCTGGTTTCACAGTGATCTTGACCTTGCATGAGATTGAGGCTTACACACATTCCCTTTAGTCCTCTTTGACTGGAGAACATGAACTATTTGGGCAATGCCTTCAATTTCCAAGAGAGGGACTGGGTCAGGGTGTCAACTGCCAGGGCCTTCACTGAACCCAGTTAAAGGCCAAACTTATGCAGACTCATGTGGGCCCAGTACCTTAGAATATGCTTTGGTGGCCTGATGGCAAGATTTCTAGAAAGCATGAATATAAATTGTCCAGAAAAGTCACCATGTTGGGATCTTTTCTTTGATGGGTGTATTTCAAAGGTAACTTACTCATGAGTTTGGACCACGAAGAAGAATCCATACATGACATCTTTGGGCTCTCGAGTTGCCTGGTGTGAGCAGCCTTCAGGGACTAGGCCACACAGTCTCTCTTTGATGTGCCACGTGAACGTCTGTGTACCTTCCCATGCAGTGCCGTCACAGGGATTTCTCAAACTGAATTCTAACAGCAGAAAACTTGCTGGTCAGCTTGAGGCAGCTCTTCTTCCCCCTCCTGCTGGGTGGGTTTTTCAGGATGTGCAAGAGGCCAGGCAAACTAGGCCATGCATGTGGCTACCGACTACAGGATGCCTCTGCAGAGTCTTGGCTTGGGTAGAGACTCAGTGCTGATTCTGTCTGTTCCAGTTCAGTGAGCAGATGGGAACCAAGAACCGCAAGCCCTTCTGAGTGCTCCCTTGGCTCTGAGGCAAGGTACATTCCTTTCGTGAGAAGACAGTGGTGCTGCGCCGGATATGCTCTTCGGCTGCTTGCCCCATGCAGCTCCCGGTTCCTCCCGAGAGGGATGTGTGAAAACAGAGCTGGTGGCCTCTCAAAGGATGTGAGGCTATCGTAGCATATGTCCCAGATTCTGGGATGTTGTGCTAGGTACAGGGAAATTAAGTGACCTAGTGGGTTCTGTCATCTACGTGTTGGCAGACTTACAGGAAGAATGTCACTAGTCCCTTCACACCAGGGCACTGTGTTTGGGGTAGTGAGGAAGGGAGAGGAGTTGGCTGCAGGAGGCCAGTGCTGGAGGAGCCAACAGAACCTTCTGGTGACAGGATTGTTAGAGGAACCAGTGGAAGCCATTGGGGAGCTCCTCCACCCTGCATCAGACTGTGTAGCCTACACAGCAAAGGACCATGGGAGGACCAAGAGTTAGAGGACAGCTGAGACTACGCAGTGCAATCTTGTCTCTGGGAAACAAAGTACAGCAAAAGAGAAAGCTTCATAATCTTCCAAAGCAGTGAAGAATCTTTAAGAAATAGTCATAATATCAATGCAGTAGTATTTCTGCTGTGGGCTCCAGGCCAGACTCCCTCACCCTGCCCATACAGGCCTCTGAAGACATCCATACCCCTTGACATGTGTTCCCACCCCATATTTAGTGTCTCTTCTCTGCCCGTTCTTATGGGGCCACACCTTCCAAGCAAAACAAGGAGACAGTTTCCACTTTGCCTGAGGAAATGAGGTATTCCCCTCTCAGCAGGGCCCTTTCATGTCATGTCACCCACTCACAGGTCGTGGGCATTGGCCATGGTTGTTTTCCATGAGGGGTCCTCCTGCCTGCTCCAAACCTCTTCTCTGACCTGTGGTAGAGGTGTTACTGTTCTCTCTCTGCAGATGGGGAAGCAGAGGCACAGGCAGGTGAAGTGATTTGACCGAGGCCATCTGGCTTCCCAGTGTCAGGGCTGACGTCTGGTCCCGCAGACAGTCTGTAGAGTCCGAGTCTTCAGGGTCTGTGTGCAAAGGCACAGCATGTCACTTAAGCCTGGGGGCGGGTGAGCAGGGTGAGTGGGTCCCGCCCAGTTGGTGACCTTTGTATTGGCTCTGTGTGAAATCAGGCAACAGGTGGAGCTGGGATTACTTCTTGCTCCCACTGAGCCTTTCCCATGCTCTTGGTACCCAATTCCCACGTGGGCCATCTGTGGAGCTGATGTACCTTCCTCATAGCCCATCCTTGGGCCTGTGCAAACCTCCTGGAGATCTGAAGCACGTGCGAGACAAACACTGTTCATTCATCCCTTTATGCGTGTGCCATGCTAGAGAGCCCGAGAGTTAAGGACGGGAGTGGGAGAGAGAAATGGGAATGGAGCCAGTGGGGTGAGGGGAGAGGAGAAAAGGAGGGAAGTCAGGGGACGCGTCCTTTGCTCTCCTAGATGTGTAGCCTTGGGCAAGTTACTTGACCTCTCTGTGCCTGTCCCCTCCAATACCAGAAACAGTCATAACACTCTAGTGTTGCTTTTTGTGATGCTCAAAGGTGGTGACATTTATGAACATTTGGTAGCACTGTGTTCGGTTCCAGCTCTTAAAAACTAAAGAGTGCCTCAGCACCCAAACCTTGGTATTTCATACCAAGCTTGCCACACACACCCATGGCTTTCTGTTAATTTTCTCATTGTGTGCATCCTGTGAAGCCCTATGTGAAATGCATATAGGCCTGGAAACTGGAGCTCAGGGGCAGTGAGCATCCTAAGG